AGAGCCCCAGGTCCTCGTCGCAGTCGGCCCCCAAAAGGCGGTGGGGTGAACAAAGGTGGGTGAAAACATGCCTGAACCATGGTTAAAAACACACCAAACAAATGGGTTGTGGAAACAAGGTTGGGGGAAAACATGCTTGAACAATCTAGCTCTGATTCGGCAAAGAAGATGGGTGGAAACAAAGGTGCTTAAACCATGCTTGTACCATCAAGCTCTGACTTTTATAGCAAAGAAAGAATAGGTTGTGGAAACAAAGCGTGGTTGAAACTTGATTGAACTGGGGTTTGGCCCAATCCTGCTCTTGATGCCTCCCTCAATGAGAGGGTCTTGTTGCCAGCCTCCTGCTTCACAGGTTTGGGGGTGCCCACTGCCAAAAACACGCGAAACACAAACCCGGGACGAAACGATGCGGCCGTCGGCCCATTTCGTCTGCTGTGTGCGTCTTTTTGAAAACACGGGCAACTCACTTTTAACAAGGACCCCCCTTGAAAGCGGTTGGTGGATATGTGTGCATATATAAATATATGTATATATAATATAAATATAGACTCCAAAAGATTTTCCCAAACATGTTGCTGACCGAACCTTTGTCGAAACGGCCCCGGTAGATTCCGTCCGAATGGTAAACCTCAAAATTCACCCTGAACACCTGCAAAACAAACTAAACAACGGCAATAAACAATGAGACCCTCCAAAAAAAGAATCATCAACAAAGAAATCTGCGTCAAAGAAACCAAAAAGATCAAGACCCAAACACACTTTTTGAAAGAGGGCGGGTCGGCATGGGGGCTGAGTTTTTCAGATTCCTGGGGGCTGAGTTTTTCAGATTCCTGGGGGCTGAGTTTTTCAGATTCTTGGGGGCTGAGTTTTTCCATTAAAAACACTAAAAAGTACCAAAAATATACGATCAAGACCCGTGACCTCTGAGATTTATTGGGGTGCGTTTTTGTTTTTTGGCTGATGACATGCAAGCACAGATTCATTTTCGATCCAATGAAGACTCAGATGCATCCAGGCCTGGAAAATGAGCTAGCTTCAATCTGCACAGAAGACAGCCTGTTGAGAACTATTTTGCACAAGTATCATTGTTGGACACAAATATTTCGCAAACGTGTGTCTGTAGCTTATTTTTGGATAATTGGCATGCTTACGCATGCCAAGTTTATAAACCTCAGGGTGCTCACTTTTGGAAGACGTATGTTTGGCACAAATCTTCAACACACGTTGCATACGTATGCAATATGTTGGAAGACGTATGCTTAGCAATCTGCAAGCAGATGTATGTTTGGGACAAATATTATTGTTGTGTTGCAATTCTGAAACACGTAAGTATGGCAAGCACAGCTTGCCACGCATATGAAATCATAAGAAAGGTAAGATATCACTGATCTATGCAGCTTTCAGCTGCAAGACTCATCTCTTTTTACAGTTGGATGTTCAATATTTTTCAATATACGCATGGGCTCTGCCCATGCTCTTGAGCTAACACAAACATATTTATCGCATAATGACCTGGAGCAATTGGAGCACAGCTCCAATCTAGTTGCTTGAGCTCAAGAAGCACAACATGCAAAGATGAGCACCTGCAACGATATCTGCAGATGCAAATACCATTCTCTGCATAAAGCTGTTCAGCTTTGGAATAAGAGCTTTGGAATAAGATTCTCTGCAGCTATTCGTGTTGCTGAAGAGCTCTTGCAACAGTAAAGCTGTTCAGAATAGATTCAAGTAGACACACGCCACAAGCAATTGCTTGTGATGAGATGTTACCTGCAGAAGATGAAATGAGAGATGAGATAAATTATCTCCAGTTGCCTGGAGTTACCTGCAGAATATCTTGGAAGAGGCTTATGTTCTGTTGATACACATCTCATCATATTATTGATGTCTTGCATCAAGAAAGCTTGCATCAAGAAAGCATCAACAAAGTATTGTCTTCAGATGATGGGCTGTGTTTTTTTGGTGTTCTTGGTGTTTATGAGCAAAGGCACCAAAAAAAACAAACAAAGTAACAAAATTACTTCGCTTCGAGCAATCCCCACCCTCCGCACTCACGAGCTTACGACCGTTACAACAAATTCCTCCGCATCCTAGAGACTCCCATCGGCCCTTTTGGACACTAAGCCAGACTGGCGAGCTGCTCTGGCGGGATACTGGCGGGATCCGCTGGCGAAAACTGGCGAGCCGGCTCGACAATTACTGGCCGGATACTCGGCAGGATCCACCGGCAAGGGATACTCAGCGGGATCCGCTGGCGAGCCACTCTGGGATACTCAGCGGGATTCTTGGCGGGATCCATCGGCGGGCTGCTGGCGGGATCCACTGGCGAGCTACTCTGGCAGGAATTCTCGGCGGGATCCACTGGCGAGCTACTCTGGGATACTCAGCGGGATACTCGGCGGGATCCACTGGCGAGCTGCTCTGGCGGGATACTGGGCGGAATCCACTGGCCAGCTGCTCTGGCGGGATACTCAGCGGGATCCACTGGCGAGCAGCTCTGGCGGGATACTGGGCGGGATCCACTGGCGGGCAGCTCTGGCAGGATACTGGGCGGGATCCACTGGCAAGCTGCTCTGGCGGCATACTCGGCGGGATCCACTGGCGAGCTGCTCTGGCGGGATACTTGGTGGAGGCGTGTAGAAGCATCGCAAACGCGGATTCCAACATAAAATCTAACAACCCCTTCCTGTCGGGTGGGGAAAAACAGACCCATGACCCTGAACTAGCAGATGCAGATGATGGGCTGTGTTTTTTGTTTTTTTTGATTTTCTTGGTGTTTATGAGCAAAGGCATCAAAAAAAAAAACAGACCCATGGCCCTGAACTAGAAGATGCAGATGATGGGCTGTGTTTTTTGTTTTTTTTTGTTTTTTTGGTTTTTTGCTGAAAAAAACTCAGCCCCCAGGAATCTGAAAAACTCAGCCCCCAGAAATCTGAAAAAACTCAGCCCCCATGACGACCCCTTCTGTTTTGAAAACACCACCTGAAAACAAACAACTTTAAAGCCGCCTACAACTTGCATTTGCTTAAGCCGCCTGGAAACAACAAAACCTATTCCACTAGTGATAGATTCCCTGCAAAGTCAGCAAGGGGAGATCAAACAACACATATTCTAGGTCCTCCAGTAGAGAGTTTAAAATAAGGGTACCCTTTGTTCTGTAGTCTATTTTAGTAGAACCCTCCCCCAATAAAGAAACGGTCAAAGGGCACTACTGGAAGACCTAGTATTCTTAAGCAAATTCAAAAAAAAGGGGAAATCAAACAACAAAGTTCGAAAAACAAAGTTCAAAAAAATTAAGCGAAGTTCAGTAACAAAGCTTGAACAAAGGCCATATTCCTAAGCAAATTCAAAAAAAAAAGCAACGTGCCCCCCCCCCCCATGGGAGCTCGGAACTCGGAGGCTCCTTGGTGTCGGTCATGTCCTGCAGCAGGGACTTGAGGCGCGCGGTCAGCGGCTCTGCCTGCCCGGCCGCCTCGAACCAGGCGCCGGTCTCCTGTCTGTGAAGTTTTGTGGAAGGGTCCAGTCGTTTCTGGGTTGGGGGTAGGCGTTAGAACTTCAAGTCCTAGGATCGTTTGCCAAGGCACGTCAGCAAGCGCCCCAATCGAAGAGGATTTCCACTAGGGGAACGATGGATGTGTACCATCAAAAAAAGTGCTTACACGGCAGTTTAGCACAACATCCCAATTCAACCCCATCGGGTACGGTGAATGCCAAGTAATTATTGCAAGTAGACCGACTACAACCAACCACAACATCATTGCAATTGAGTCACAGTAACTCCCGGGGGTTCCTGGTGCCCTTGCGCGCAATTCAACTTCGCATTTACCTTCCCAATTAACGACAATCCGCCTTTTCGTCGAGTGGGTCCCACAAAATGAAATTTGAGACAGCAACACACGTCTAACAGGATCTAACATGCTCCAAGCCTAATCGGGAGGGGTTGGCCCCACTCTCTCACCCACGTGCGTGGCAAAATAGGGATTTGGAGCCCAAGGAAAGGTGGTGATCCTTTTGGTGTTACTTTTGGTTTTCTTTCCATCCCCCCAAAAAAGGTACCCTCACAACCCCCCAAAATGTCTTCTACTGGGCCTTTTGGCTTGAGACAACGGTCCCGTTGCGATAGTGCCAAGGGTTCCGTACGCAAGAAACGCAGGGATAAAGAGGTTATAATTTGTATATTTGGTCTTGAGGTGGGGTCCTTGTTTGTTTGGAGCTTGGAGGGAACCCTTTTTGGGTGTGGGTATCTCCAAATACGGGCAGCGTACCCCAAAAGCGGACTTTGGTTCCCCTTTCGGCTTCCCGTTCACACCACTCCAAAAAACACGACCCTCCGCAACAAGCCACACCCAACGGGTTCCCCACCTTTAGCCTCAAGAACCAGGGCTTCATCTCTCCAAACTACCAATATGTTTACCTTCCAAAACCAGGGGTGCACTCTCTAAACCACCCAGCGCTTTTCGTGTTGCTTTCCCCACGGAAATATTATATATATATATACAACAACTCCCCCCAAAAAAAACTCCCTCCCCCCCCCAAAAAAAAAAATCACTCCCCCCCCCCCAAAAAAAAAACTAACTCCGAGGGCCAGCGCTGCAAAATTTGCGCGCTGGGTCCCCGTTTGTCCTCCGTATCCTCGGCGGCCGCCAGAGCCTCCGCCGCCACTTGGGTGCTGAGGCCCTGCACCTGGCGAAAAGCTCACGACGTTCGAAGCTCCGAGCTCAGGTGGAACTGGTGGAATTGGTGCTGACCCACCACACGGCCACGAAAGTTGAACATTTCCTGCCACAAGTGGATGTTGAAAAGGCCCCGCAAAAGTGGCTGAATTCATGCCCTAAAAAAGTGGTTGGTTGGCCACACAACGGTGGACTTGTTCATCCACCTGAATCCACACAAGTTGCTGAACATCCCCTTTTAGTGGGGTTGGCCACCAAAAGTGGGTGGTGGACTTGTTCACCTGGACTTGTTCACCCACCTCAATGTCCACGAAAGCTGCTGAACATCCCCTTTGGCCCCTCCCGCCAACGAGTCTTCGACTCGTTGCCGGTTCCCACACCTTCAAGGACTGCGCCACGTCGTTGGAGATGCTGTGGTGCACCCAGTGCAAGCCGCTGCTCGTCACCGCGCGGGTCCGCTTCTGCTGCTCCTCCTCTGACAGCCACTCCTTGTCTCCGCGCTTTTCGACTGCTGCTGTCTTTGTGTCTGTTGGGTTTGGCGAAGAAGAGAAACCCGGAGGAAACCAAGCGTTTGGTGTGGTCCAAAGGAAGCATCCCATGTTTGCGGGTTTTGCTGGGGTGGTTTGGAGGGAACCTCAAACAGAAACAAGCATTTTGTGTGGTCCACCTATGTTGACAACAGGGGATCCCAAATTTCCCCATCCTACCAAAGGAAACAGCAGATTTTGTAGCTCCGGTTCTTTTGTGGGATGCATGTTGGTGAGAAACACCACCTTCTGTGATACCAAAGCGGGTCATCCCTGCCATGGCGTTGACATTCTAAAGCCTTTTGCTGTGTCACAAAACAGTGGGGGTATGTGGGGGTGTTTTTGTTGATGGCAGCATTTGTGGCGTTGTTTTGCAGGGAACCAAAGGACGACAACACAGCCACGCCTGGGCGGTTCGAGAAATTTGCGGCCTGCCGGGTTCCCGATTCGACCTGCCCCCTACCCGAAATGCACCTTTTTGTCTGGTAAAGCCCTGACAAGAAAGGCAGATGATTGCATCGGACAACCCGGCTTTTCCAGAAAGTGCCTCTAAAAAAAAAAGCAAGAACAAGTGTTTGGACTAGGGGGGTATGGCTCCGGAAACCCAGCCGCTTGTGACGGCATCCAACGATCATTGAAGACAACACTTGCCGGGGCGTGGCAACCTAAAACCCCATTTCCGCAGCCGGGGTCACAACGGTTCGGCCCGCAACGGGCCTCAAGTACATCCCCACCCACGAGTTCCCCGTGTTAACCCCAGGGGGAAGGCCGGCACTTCCCTCCCTGGCCCACATGTTCCTTAAGTTTTGAGTTCGCGCTTTCCAACTTCGAGCAGAGTCTCCGGTCACAGCTTCTCAAAACCCCAAAAGCTTCACCCATGGTGTCAAAGTTCTTGGGCCCTTGGCTTGGAACAGACATTTCTGGACTTGAACAAGTTCGGAGCCTTTGATCACAAACATAGATGCCTCACTGCCTCACTGCTGTTTTGCTGTTGAGGGTGCCCTGTTTTGGCTTGCTTTAAAGGCAATCCTGGAAGAAGTCAAGCATTTGTGTCCACTTATGTGTTTTGTCGACCGCGTTTCCTATCTTTTTTCATCGATCCTCAAATCATGACTCCTGCCAAAAAAAGACTCAACCTGGAAAAGTGATGTTTGAAACCAACCTATTTTATGTGGTGGTATCCTTTTGAACCATGTGGTTTTCTTGTCGGTTGCATCATGTGATTGGGTCCACCTATTCTCGGGGGCTGCTCCAGGCCTTCTGAGCAAAAGGTCCGCCGCCTTTTGTAGGTTTGATGGAAGCGCTCAATTTTCGTGGGTCTTATGGAAAGAAACCCAAAAAGTGCAGTGTTTTTTTCTTGGGTGTCCCACAAAAAACGCCCACTTCGAAGGTGTCCTCCAAAAAGGCACACCCATTTCAACCCCCCAAAAGTCTATTCTGAACCTTTCAGGTTGGATATTTTTGGGGTATGGTTATAAGTTATAAATACCAGGTACATAAGGGGTATATGGCTCAAATCCAAGCCACGGGTTCATTTCTGAAATGTACTATTTGAAACCAAAATAGTTTATGTGGTTGTATCTTGTTGAACCATGTGGTTCACATGGTTGTGGGGTTGTTCGGTGGTTAGAGGGTTTTGCAGTGTCTTGGTTTAGCCCCCCCCAAAAAATAAAATAAATACATAAATAAATAAATAAATAAATAACATAAATCAAAAATGTGGGTTTCCTGTTGGTTTCCCCGTTAAAACCAAACAAGGGGTACCGAGCCTCCTTGAAACGACAAACCCCGCTGAGGGACGGTCATACGCCGCGCATAGGTGGCCTTTCAGAAAGGTAGATGGCCCTGGTAAATGGATGGCATAAAACCCATCTCAACCAGTGGGTCCTGGTAGCTGGCCCATCCATTCGGAGAAAAAAAAAGAAGAAAAAAAACTCCTCTCAACCAGTGGCTTGCCCATCCATGTTTGCGAACCGAAAAAGGAAGAGGAAAGAACCTAACCTACGCTGCCGAATGTTTGCGCACCCATCAAAAAAGAGAAAGAACCTAAGGCCCTACGCCGCCCAGGCGCCATGTTGTTGAAGACACAGAGCTGCGCGGGCCGTAGCTGTCCGGTGCCCGTGGGCACCAGAAGCTCCTCGCGATTGACGCTCAAAACCGAAAGCCTGGACTGGTTGAAACCGGTTTGGTGTTTAGTGGGTGTCCGGTGTGAATAGTTGTTTCTTAAAAAAAGAAAATATGTTTTGGCTTTACAAGGTGTTTGGTGCTAAATGTGTGAACAAAGAAGCAGGTGGAAAAGAGCGGGTGGCAAATAAAAACGGGTGTAAACATTTGGCCCAGCTAGTAGAGGGTCGGGAAACATTTGACAAACAAGGGCGCATTGCCTGAAACCAGTGGTGTGTATTTTCAGGCCATGTATTTTCAGCCAATCTAACCTCAAAAAGGACACCTGTATGGGTATGAACTGCATCAGTTTCGATTTGGTGGACATCAGAATGTGGTAGGGAGTCATGTCCACCAATCACTGTGGAGTTGGTTCCAAGTAGAACTTTTGGGGGTTTCAGCACATCAGGTCAGTTCAATGCTGCATGTGAGCAAAGCACTCAAAAACCAGTTTAGAAACTCCCAGGCGTACCATCCTGCCTTTCTTTTTTTTTTGAAGGGGGTTGGACAGAAAGGTATCAAGCCTCGGTGACAGCAAGGTATCAAGCCTCTTTGGGGTTGTTTCAAATAGACACCAAGGAAAACTACTTGGGTGCATGCCAACATAATGGCATTCGGTCGTGACTTCGGTGGTACTTCGCCCCAGAGAGAACTCCCCCCCCCCCCCGAAAGCCGCCCCAGCGCCCAGAGAACTCCTCGGGCGCCTTCTCCCCCTGCTGCCGGATCCGCTCCGAGAGCGCGATGGCCAGGCGCACCGCCGTCTCCGCCTCCGCCGCCCCCAGCTGCCGCTCCTCACCGGCCGAGTTCGGCGGAAGGCGCGGCCCAGGCTGCGACGGTGAAGTGACATCCGCGAAACATCAGGTGGCACTCGTAGCTATGAGATGTATATATATATATATAAATGACATCCTCAACAAGAAAACTAAAACCAAGTGATATCTAATAAGTATGTTCTATTCACTATATTAATTTGACATCCTCAACAACGAAACTAGAACTACAATCAAGTGATATCTATTAAGTATGTGAAAGTGACATCATCAACATCGAAACTAGCCTCGTCATGTTGCTTTACAGCACACCCACCCCAAAAGTAAGAGGACATTGGAACATATTCACTTGCAGGGGACCTGTTGAGCATCTTGCCATTTCTCTTTCTGTCTCTTTCTCTCTCACCAGCAACAGCCCAAATTCCTAGTATAACCCAAACGCGCTGCTTACATCACCTCACAGCTACGGACCCTACTTTAACGAGGCTCGTTTTTTGTGAGCATCCACCCCCACCCTCCCAGCGCCTCCCAGCACCCCCCGCCCTCCCTTCCGACGCTTCCGCCGAGCGCGTCGCCTCCGCGGCGGCGCGTTGGGCGAGGCGCTGCAGGCCCCGGGCGAGGGCCGCGGCCGGGAAGTGGCCGGGCACCGCCAGCCGCGCCTCGAGCTCGCGGGGCGCCTGGCACGGGGCCCCGACCGTCGCCCCGCGGCGCTTTGCGCGGCGCCGCTCACGCCAGGTTTTCGCACTGGTTGGCTCCGCATTCCGCACACTCTCCCGCAAGTCGGTTTGGTTCCAAATGGGAAACCCAGAGGCTAGAATAAGTTGGTACCCACGTTTTGTTTCTTCTTTTCTGTCGTCTATTTTAGTAGAGGAAGCCTCCCCAAAAAAGGGTGAGAAAGGGCACTACTGGCAAAAGGGCACTACTGGGGGACCTAGTAGTTGTACAGCGGCGCCGCGCGAGATAGTTCGTGAAGGAGTGCAAAACATGAATTGATGAATCCTTCCGTGTTGCTAACGTCGCCGTGAGCTAAAACAACACCTTTCCCACCGCCAAACCCTTCCCTCCCGGAAAAAAAAAAAAAAAAAAAAACACAAATATCCCACCCGAAAAGAAAACTTGTTCACCCCCTTCGCCCTTAAAGAACATGTTCCACCTTCCTAACCCAAAAAACACTTTCCACCCTTCCCCCCCCTCAAACCCTTCCCTCCCTTAAAACAAAAAGCACCGCTAAAAAGAATGCTTGTATTATCGCAGTTCGGGCTTCTGGAGATACAATCCAGTTTTCTCATGCATATCATTTTATTTCTATAGGAACTGATATTAATTCCAAAGATGAATCCAGTTTCAACTAGTGAGTGACACGGGTATGATTTTAAATTAGGAACCCTTAGGTGGACATCAGAGTTCAGTCGGGAATTGGCTCCACCAACCATTTGCAGAGGTTGTTCCCGACCAACATGTGCAGCCACATTCTCGCTTCCAGCCACAAAACGTCTTCTCACTTTCTGTCGACCGAAAATGCTCCAAAACCAAAAGCCAAAAAGTGACGAAAGTCCCAACCGGACCTCCGGCAGTGAGCATCCCCTCACTCCCCTCCCCCCAACCCCCCCCTCCCCCCAAAAAAATAGTAAAAGGAGAATTCAAAGAATTATTCTTTCTACTATTTTTTCTCCAACAGCAACACAACAAACAGAAAACAAAATCCAGAACAACAAGCAAACAAAATAAATAATCACAACCAGCAACAAAAATATTTAATCACAGCATGCAACATTAAATAATTCAAACAAGCATACCAACAAAACAGCAACACTCTAAATCATCAAAGAACCCAAACTCAAAAACACACATCAACAAAAATCAAAGCAACATACCAACAAAAAATATCACAAGAGTATCAAACAAAACAAAAACAAACAGCCAAAGCACGAAAAAATTGAAGAAGCATGCCAAGTCTAAACAACGCACTTTGAAAGAGATAAGCAAATTATAATAATTCAATCTTTACAAACGATAAATATATTACAATTATAACATATAATATTTTACATGTGATAATCATAGTATGATTATAATTTCAGTACAGGATAATAATTTAATTGATTTGTCTCACTTCTTTCATACATCATTTTAAAAATAATATTAATATCTCTCAATGTATTTTGAACATTAAAATTTTTACTTTCAATAAATAATTTGATATTTTCTTTAACATCTTCTCCTTTCTCTTGACTATAACACAACATCCTTAATATATCATCAATCATACCATATTTTTTCTTAGGGATTTTAAGAAACTGTTTAATATAATCGTAAGGTGGTATTTTATTTACAGCTAGAAATATTAAAATCTCATCTTCTACATTTCTATTATGTCTCCCTTTTATTCTCAACAGACATTTGATTAAAACTTGATTATCTCTCCATTCCTGACAAATTTTACATTCATCTTCTTCATCCATTGAATAATTAATAATATTATTCAATATTTTATTAGGTAAATTTAATTTATACAATTCCATATTTTCTTTTTTGAAGTGACAACAATCATAGCATTTTTTATTGATATAATTATTGATTTTATCACCGTTCATTTTCCTCTTAATATATTAAGTCAATATTTCTTTAAGTCGTTTTCAAAGAATTTATCTTATAATGGCCGTAAGCAAGTGAGTTTACACTATCTATCCAATATTTTTTGTTTTCATAACTACTAAGAGCAATTTTTTTAGTTGTTATACTAAAAATTCTGTGGTTTTTACTTCTAATACTATTAAATGACTTATGTATAACCTCATTAGTTTTTAAAACCGTCTCAAACTCTTCATATTTCATTTGTCGTCTTACTGTGCCTTTTGCTATTCCCTTACATTTCTTATATTTTTTATCATCACCATAAACTGAGTAAGCATAGCATTTAGGACGAAGAGCTATAAACCCTGTTATTATTTTACTTTTTAATTCATCCTTAAATTTACCTAATACTTTCTTGTTATTATCATCATAACATTTATGTTCCTTAGGATAATCTGAAAAATCTAATTCTTTTTTAATTGCATTAAGGTCTTCATAAATGTCATTGGTTTTAGTATGAAATACAAAACTATCAGTATCAGTATATACCATTTTAATATTATCTCCATATTTAGGCTTCATAACGTCATAATAAAATTTATACATGTGTTGCTTACTCAAATCTAAAATACTCATCCCAATAAATATAGGTTTGTCTAGTTTCAACTTTGTTTTTTGCTTTTCAACTCCAACCAAATTTTCATTAATGATATGACTATGTTTGAAGTTAGGATTACTTACACACTTCATATATCTAGTTTCATCACTCACAACTTCAAAGTCTAAATGTTTTCGCTTATCCTCCATTGTTTTTCCAAATATGGCATTGTTCATCAATTTATAAACATCTTTCTCAAAATCATTTCTAGCATTCTTCCTCTTCTCTGTGTTAAACTCAATGTAAGGTTTTAAAACTTCTTTTTGTTCAAATTTAATTGCTCTATGAATTTTCTTAAGTTTTAACCCTTGCTTCAAATAAAATTGTAAGGTTCTTATATGGATTACATATTTTTCTTTATCATTTAAGTTCAATATTAATTTATTTGTTTTCTCATCCGTAGGTTTTTTATGATTTAAAAATTCATAAATTTCAATTTGTTTATCTGACAGCATGTTGGCTTTAACATTCATAACCTCAGGTGCCATTGGATAGTCATTGTGTAAATCGTGTAATTCTTTAGGATATTCTAAATCCACTTCTAGAATATATCCAATATTATTATTTTTGTAATTAATAATGTCTTCTTCTTTTAATGTATCATCCCATTTTAGATTTTTATATGGCAGTTTTTGTATCATGCTTAACCCGTACAAATTATTAGCATCAAAATAGTTAATATAACTACTTTCTTTATTTTTATCATATTCTTCTCCCATGTATTTATTATTTGCTTCAACTTTTTTAGTAGAAACCATACACATCCCGCCTCTAAGTCCCGCTTCTATCATTTCATACATTTCTTGGTCATATATTAAATCAATCTCTACACCAGTCATTTTAAGCATAGCATCAAAAGCAAAGTTAGGCAATGTATAATAATAAGCAGGGTCCAATCCATAATATTTCATACATACATCTCTAAAATTTTCGAAAATGTCAGTCAATAATAATACATCAGTTTTCAAATATAAATCATGGTATTCACCCATATTCTTAATGTCGAAATGCTTCCATATAATTTTTGCCCTTTCATAGTCGTTAACACTTATACCTTCTTCACTCAACTGACTATAAAAATCATCCTTACTCGGTAATTGCTCATCATCAAATTTATCAAATGAATTCATGTAGTCATAAGGATAAACGCCTTTATCAGTTAATAAATCTAGACATTTCTCACTCTTAATCAAATCATTTTTACTACTGAACCTAAAATTATCTTTCCAGTTTTCACGCAATAACCATTTACTTTTATCTTCTTCATCTGTATTGTCATACTTACTCATTGAAACTAACTTATCTAATGAAGCAGTTAAAAACCCAAAAGTGTCTTTAACACTCAAACTTTCAAAACTGATATTAATAAATTTTTCACTGTTCTGAGCGATGACACCTATTTTATTGTTGTTACTTAATTTATCCGCATTTTGAATAATTAAATGACCGTCATAATTTTTCATGTTATGAAAGAATACTGGAATTTTAAAATATCTATTACAAAAATTAAGATTGCAAACATTATGAGCACAACCTCTATACTTACCTGTAAAATGACAATGGTCTCTAACTTTTCTATATTTCTCTGCTTCCTTGGCATTCTTATAGTTCATTCTAAACTTATCCCCACAAATAAAGCAGTTTTTAGCATTTTTAAAATCTTCTTTGTCTTCATCAGTCATGTCTATTTTTTTGTTTTCTCCCATCTTCTCCTTTACTTCTGCCCTAATCTCATTAAGTTTTTGACAAAACACATCAACAGCATCTTTACCGCGATACATAAATTCATAATTTGTATTATCAACAGCATTAACCATATTAAGCATAAAACCACATGGTTTATGCTCTTGATAAGAAAAAGTGTTTTTATCTTCATCTTCATCAGGTTTTTTCAGTTCCTCTGTCAAACATTCAAAATCAGCATATACAACAAAAGGACATCTTAACTTTTTGAAGTGATGCTTAAAACTAACTTTCTCATAAGGCTTAGGCATTACTATTTGTTGTCCTTCAACTTCCATGCATCCACTATCATAATGTTTATTTAATAATTCTTCATTTCTAAATCCATGATTACAATATTTACAAAAATAGGACTTACCATTATGATTACTTTTCTGATTATTAATAAGTCTGCTCAAACTTTTTATATACACATAATGACTGCAATCCTCCTCATCAACTCTCAACAAATCAAGATGACAAGAAGCATCTTTATTTTTCAATTTTCTACTAATAACAATTTGTTCATTATCATCAATTTCATAAACATTAATGGATATTGATTTATTATTTTCTTCAAATATATCTATATCATTATTATTAGCAGGAAAACTCACACCATCAAAAATCAAATCACTTGCTATCTTCTTGTAATGAAACATCTTTTCAGGGTGTGCTTTATCACAAATTTTACAATATCCACACTCAATAGAATATTTAAAA